TTAAAATCACTTTTCAAAATTAGGATTCAAGAGTATGGGAGTGATGTTATAAAGGTGATGAGTCCATTTAAATTATTTAAATGTGAAAACTAGAGTGAGAAAGTTGTTTTTAAAGAGAAAGAAAGGAAGAAAAAAAAAAAAAAGTTGTTTGATTAAAGTTAAAAAAAAAAATAAAAGTTTGATTAAAGTTCATTAAAAGAACAAAAAAAAAGGGTTTGATTAAAGTTCATTAAAAGAACAAAAAAAAAGGGTTTGATTAAAGTTCATTAAAAGAACAAAAAAAAAAAGGTTTGATTAAAGTTCATTAAAAGAACAAAAAAAATAGATGGTTTAAAGGTACAGATATACAGAGATATATGTAAACGGAGTATGCATGAAAAGGGGGTAATATAATTCCAAACATAATGATTTAAATAGGGGTTATATTATACCCCAGAGTAATAATACAGATGTTAAATGAAAATAATAGATAAAATAAAAATAAAATTAAATAAAATTAAATAAAAGATTACACAGAATACAAGATATATAAATGGAAAGGCATAGATGAAAAAATAAAACTTAAAAGATTATTATTATTATGAGGGTTGGTTAGGTCCAGACATAAAGAATAAAAGCATGTAGATAAGGGTTGTATATAGGAATTTAAATAAAATTAAACAGGTCAAAATCAACATTTAAACCAGATGGGGTAAGAGTTTTGAGATTTAAAACCCATTCCATCTCAGCTTTACCTAATATGTTCTTAATGTTACCACCTCTCCATGGTATTATACATTTTTTTATGCCGATGCATTTAAGGTGTCTTATGTCGTTGTTATGTGTACAAAAGTGTTTGGAGACTGAGTGATTCAGGTAGCCTTTTTTGATATTTCTACAGTGTTCACTCAGTCTCACTTTAAGACTTCTTGTGGTCATCCCTACATACTGGAGACCACAAGGGCACTCCAACAAGTAGATGACATTTTTGGTATCGCAACTGATAAAATCTTTAATTTTATAGGTTTTGTTGGTGATATTAGATTTAAAACTGGTGGTTTTGGAAGGGACGGAGGGGTCTGTGTTTTTGCATACAATGCATCTTTTACATTTATAAAAGCCACTGGCATTGGGCATAAAAGAATTAAAAGTAGGTTTGGTTTCTTTTGTAAAATTGGTGGTTAAAATGGATTTGAAGTTTGGGGCACCTCTAAAGACAACATTAGGCTTGTCAGGTATAATATTTTTAAGTATTTCATCTTCTTTTAAGAGGTGCCAATGTTTTTTGATAATTTTTTTGACATGGCCACTTTTGTTATTAAAATTGAAAATAACAGGAAGGGGCATGGTGTTGGTGGTGGGTTGGGTATTGTAAATTAGGAGGTCTGCTCTATCTTTTTTGGTGATGGTATTTATAATGGTGTTGAGGCGGGTTGGTGAGTAATTTTTCTCAATAAATTTTTCTTTTAGATAATTTGATTGTTTGTTAAAATCTTCTATTTGGGAGCAATTCCTTCTGAGACGAAGGAATTGGCTTTGAGGGGCACTTTCCAACCAAGGTTTGTAATGGCAGCTAGATCTTTCGATAGCTGTGTTGACGCAGACTTTTTAAAAAAATGTTTTGGTGTGGATGGTGTTGTCTGTAATGAAGATGTTGAGGTCTAAAAAATTAATAGATTCCTTACTTGTTTCATGGGTTAGGGTAATTCTTTTAATGAACTTTAATCAAACTTTTTTTTTATTTTTATTTTTATTTTTATTTATTTTTTATTTTTTGAACTTTTTTTTTTTTTCCTTTCTTTCTCTTTAAAAACAACTTTCTCACTCTAGTTTTCACATTTAAATAATTTAAATGGACTCATCACCTTTATAACATCACTCCCATACTCTTGAATCCTAATTTTGAAAAGTGATTTTAAAAATTGTCTCTGATTGGCCAATTACACTTTTGGCGCAATTTTCAAATTAACATAGCCCTATTTAAACAACCCCTGCCAGGTTACTACTTTTATCCCATTCTGAAGAAGCCACTTATGGTGAAACGCGTTTATGGTTATTAATTCTGTATTTTACTGTGTATTTTAGATCAATAAAAGTTTTTTGGCTACTTTATTGTACCAATCCTCTTTTTATTGCACTCTTTATGCACTTTAAACAACTTTTGTTTTTACCTATTCCTGGCATTTTAACCTTTCCTGGTTACTTTTACTTCCATTGGCAATTTTAAAGTTCCAGTACTCCAAGAAATCCTAGGTGGGGATCATACCACCGGCGCCTATCCATAGAGCAGTACCTCTGCTCTATCTTTGTGAGTATTATTTTATTTTCTCTACTACTCTCTTAACCTATCACAATTGAGAGCACTATTGCTGCTTTTTATTCTTCTATATTGGAGCCTTGGATCACCAGACGGTGCTGACGGACGTATCGCCGCTACATATCCTATAAGCGGGGATTATACCGCTGTACGCTATCCACACCAGAGCTGGCCATAGCTCCCTCAAATGTGAGTTTTTTACCTCTTCTTATCTGCACATTGAACCACATCAAAATTGAGAGCACTATTGTTGCTTTCTGTCTTTCTTTTTCGAGCTCTGGACTACCAGACGGTGTTGACGGAGACCCCTCCCTACATATCCCATAAGCGGGGATTATACCGCTGTACACAATCCACACCAGAGCTGGCCATAGCTCTCTTGAATGTGAGTTCTTTACTTTTTGTTACCTATCACACCCTGAACTTTCATACTATACCATTAGTCGCCTCTACCTCTCTTGTATTTACATATACGGAACGGTCTACACCAGACGCATCCACAGAGGAACTCTATCAAGTATCCTAGACCATCTATTGGCACCCTAGCAATACTTTACTGGACTATCTACCCTTATTTGGCGCAGCCCTTCCATATCTTTTTGTATCTATCCACCGAAGGACCCGAGGGGTTTTCCTTCATTTGGGTTGCTGCCTACCTTGACTAATTTTGTGATTACTAGTGCTGAATTCTTTTTGTGTTTATCCTTATCTCCAAAAAGGTAGCTTTTAGATTGGAAAGTCTGCAGGGACAGGCTATATACACCAGCAGGGCCGGCGCTACCTGTAAGGCGGACTAGGCAGCCGCCTAGGGCGCCCCTTGGGAAGGGGCGCCGCCAGGAGCGCCGGCCCCCCCATGCTGCAGCCACCCGAGCGCTATGTAAAGAGCCTCAGGCGGCTGCAGCTTTGCCCGAGCGGTGCGTCGGACCGCACCGCCCGGGCGCAGCCTGAGGAGAGGCTGACAGGAGGGAAGCGCTCAGCGCTCCCTCCTGTCAGCTCCCTCACTGTAGCGTGGCCGAGCCCTCTATGGCATGGTCCGACCGGTACAGAGAGCAGCTGTCTCCTGTACCCGGCCGGACTAACAGGAAGTGAACACTGAGTGTTCACTTCCTGTTAGTCCGCCGGGTACAGGAAACAACAGCTCCCTGTACCGGTCGGACTATACTGGGCTCGGCCAC